CTGTAAAATCTCAATATTTACAATACAGGGTTCATACACTTTTTCACCAATGATTTTCAATGACTTTTCCATGACCAAAAAAAATGACTCTTTCATGTGGCTAGCATGCGCTGCCTCGCCCATATTCGAAATATCGAATATGTTACAACACAGTTTGCATTGAGCACGTCTTGGGTCAATGTCTTTTGATATCCTTTAGAAGCCATACATTGTTGAAACTGCACTTCCCTGGCATCTTGGCAGCTTTATATCAAATAGTAGCTCCTGTAGACTAGAGGGCTTGATTGTAAACATCTCACCAGCTAAATACTGCCACTGTTGCCATTTTACGTTTCATTATACAATACAGTATTTATTATCATTATAGTATTACTATTTTGGTGATTAGATAACATATACATTATATTTGATGCAACTTTAGTTATATTTCCATGACTTTTCCAAAACTTTGGGAAAAAGAATGGGCTGCTGGTGGCTGTGTCGGAGGGAGGGAGGTGTGCTAGGCGAGACTTCTTTGCTGGCTGGGTTGATCGTGATGGCTGTGGTGGAGGCCTTTGTACCGAGGTGTATCTTAATCTTGTGGCAGGCACAGATGGAGGTGGAGGCCGCTGTAGCGATGCTGGTCCTCTGGTCCTTGGTGGTGATGGCTCTGGTGAAGGCCCTTGAGCCACGGTAGATCTTGACCTGGGTGCAGGCACAGATGGAGGTTCTTGCTGTTAGGCCCAGGCAGCTGTGAAATCTTTCCAATCCAGACGAGATCTCTCTCTCCCGTCTGTGTGCGAGGGGGGCGGGGCAGTTTTATAGTCAAGTGCCGGGAAAACTCAAATTAAGTTAAAAAGACAAACAAGAGACAAACAACAAAATGAGTGCGGGACCGAGCAAAAAGCTAAAGACATACCACTTCCACCCAGAATGGGAGGAAGAATATTTTTTTGTGATGTCACATTCAAAGGTTATTTGCCTTATTTGTAAAGCAAGCGTCGCTCTGCCAAAGAAAGGTAACGTGAAGAGGCATTATCGGAGTGTTCACAAGGCATATGACAGCGACTTCCCTCCGAGTAGCAAATTTAGAAAGAGAAAGGTCATGTATTATTGCTACAAAAACATTATCTTGCAGTCTTAGTGTCGCCAACTCGTTTCTAACATGCAAAAAGACAAGCAAATACGTCTATGGTCGGTGTATTTTCGACCTTTCCAATCCAGACGAGATCTCTCTCTCCCGTCTGTGTGCGAGGGGGGCGGGGCAGTTTTACACACACGCAGCAACACACGGAGGAGATGGCGGAGAGAAGCGCTCCAAGGCAGGGCCGGACTGGGACAATAAGTCAGGCCGGGAATTATACACCCAGCCAGGCCACTACCAGTTTTCTTTTGTGCCATTTTCCTGGATTTATTTGTCAATATTTACAGCGTTGCTGCCCATAGTGATAGCCCTTAACTTTAAATCTACTACCCCAGAATAAACATATGGACATGGGTTACTATTTAAAAAAAATGTGCCAAACTATTTAGGAACCTATCCATGTGAACATATTTTAGAGCAGGCCACTTAACAGGCCAGGCCATCGGGAAACCTCCCGGTCCTCCCGATGGCCAGTCCGGGCCTGCTCCAAGGTGTGGTTAAATGTTACCCGTCTTGAGGTGGACAAGGCTCCTTGCCAAGAGTGTTTAGCATGTAAGGGCGGTAACACGAGCAATTTGTCTAAACATTTAGCAAAAGTGCACCACATTCAGACGGAGGAATGCACCGGGTTCGACTGTCTTTCTAGTAGCTCTGTAGCTCCATCCACGAGTAACTTTTCCACGTCAGGTGTTATGCTAGCAGCAACACACGGAGTTAACTCAATTATACAAACATGGGTTTATGATTAGAGGTAACTGAGTTACTCTTTATTTTGTTAAAGTTTCAGCTATTCTGTTTACAGTTCTGTCATCAGATTATTTAATACGATTTGTTAAAACATTGTTGTTTCTTTTGATGTGAAATATTATTTATTTTATTTAAATAAAAAGCAATGTTAATTTTGTTCACAATTTGTTAAGTTAATTTAATAATATATGTATTTTTGAATCAAGTATTCATCTTTATTGTCTTCATTGTTAGTTTCCACATGTCTAAAACAACCTCAAGCTAAATCTAAAAGTTGATGGCTAAATAAGAGCGTTTGAGAAATTGTGCAAGGCATACAGTAATTGTCTGAATAGTCGATTAATCGTTTCATTAATCGATAGATTAATCGATTATCAAATTAGTCGTTTGTTGCAGCCCTATTGTAGTTATCCCATGTATAAATAAAACGTGTTATTCAGCAACCCTTGCAATTTGGGATTTTATTTTTGGTTGGTAGACCTCGGTGAGCTGGTCATTTCAAAAGTAGCTCACCAGCCAAAAAAGTGTGGGCACCCCTGCCTTAGACAGTGAAGCCATATATGAAATAGAACTTTCATGATATAATTTCTCGGTCATAATCGGTTGTTTCCGTGAACGGCCGACTGTTGTCAGACGGCAGCGGCAAATGCTGCGGCTGCAAGGCATTGTGGGGCAGCACTTTCTCCTCTTCTTTCGTCAAGGGAGGTCCAGGTCCAGTGGTTCCTAATATAAGCTAAAGGAGGTTATAAAGGAAGTTTGAAACCTCCTTTCCTATAGAATTCGAACGGCGCTTATCATGGCTGCCACTGAGGGACTTCCGAGGTTCCTAAGCTAAATGGACTATTCAACTTCAGCCCCGGTCTATATAATATGCGGTTGAACTTTTAAATTAAATTATTTCCGGTGCAGAGACAAACACTCGAGGTGGATGTATAAAGTACATACTGGTGTTAATAAAATATATCGTATATCCCTCAATTTATCGACAATAAGAATGACAATACATATTTCTGGGTGTAAAGTAATATATCTATCATACTGTAGATCCTACACATCCACTGGAGGTAGATTCTGAAAGTAAAATATACACTTCTCACTAGAAATGTAATCATAAAGCATTATTATGGCCAAACTATCCTACAATTTAGGATTTTCCACTGAAAAAAAGTGTTGGATTCAAGATTCAAAGGTTTTTATCATCATATGCTCAGCAGCTACAGAAATGTCAATGAAATTCTTCTGACCTGAGCTCCTCCAACAATGCAACATATATAATAAAATACAAAAATACAAAATAAAAAGTAGTGCAAAAAGTTTATATACATGTAATATAATAGAATATGATATTTACAAGAACAGAATATGAAATTAAATAATGTAAATTAAGAAAAAAATTAAATACGGTGTATCGCGTGGACCCAATCACAGTGAATGTTCAAAACTAAATTTGATAATTTTTTCTTTTTCATCTCACAGTGCACATATTTAAGTAATCATAACACAAAGCTAAAAGTTAATCTGTTTTTCCTTTCTCTTTTCAAGAGTGCTTCAGAGGATGGCTGAATTCACAAAACGTGGAGAAGACCGAGAGGGAGAAGTTACTACATTTCACAAAAAATACAGGACCTTGTGAAAAACGGAAAGAAAGAAATTGAAGGAAACTGCTTAAAAATATGAAGTAATGGGTGTTTTGAAAATGTTTTCAAATGTGTGTTAATGTTCATTGTGTGTTATAAATTATTATCTTGCTTCTAATCATTTGATGTATGAGTATTTATTTACAGACATTCTATACATTCTGGTACCTTTCTGGTAAGGTAGGTGCTCTGATCTGAAATTATAGATGTTCATTGAGTACTGCAATTGGGTGAGAGTGTTTCATCATCATATATGACCAGCTTAACCATCAGGTAATTCCAGTTAAAGTTCGACTCAAGATCATACCAGTCTGACCAGCTAATGGTGACCTGCTAGAACACTGTGACCACCAGCTTTTACCAGCTAAACCGAGCTAAACCAGCTATCCCGGCCAGCTAATGGTAACCAGCTAGACCACTGTGACCATTTCATTTCAAACCTTTATTTATACAGATAAATCCCATTGAGATCATTGATCTCTTTTTCAAGGGAGACCTGCTCAAGTAGTTCCACATGAAACATAAAAACATAAATAGAACAACAAAAGGACATCACATAGCATCATTTACATAATTATCCTGCTGTGTTGCCCACACCGGGTTGTATTTTGGACGTTCTGCCTCTGCCTCCTTGCTTGGTTGGGCTGCTCAATTGTCAGCTTCACAATTGTGAATTGTTTCTCCCTGAACACAGCCTGCAGCCACCAGCTAAATAAATACAAACATAAATAGAACAACAAAAGGACATCATACAGGATAATTATGTAAATGATGCTGTATGATGTCCTTTTGTTGTTTTATTTATGTTTTTATGTTTCATGTGGAACTACTTGAGCAGGTCTCCTTTGAAAAAGAGATCAATGATCTCAATGGGATTTATCTGTATAAATAAAGGTTTGAAATGAAATGGTCACAGTGGTCTAGCTGGTTACCATTAGCTATGCTGACCAGCTAGACCACTGTGACCAAACCAGCTAAAGTGTCCAAAACCCCTCTTAACCAGCAAACTAATCCAGCCTAATATTGACTTGTTTGTCTGCTGGTTTTTTCAGCAGAGGTGTGGCTCCATCCTAAGAGTAAATAAAGCAGTCGATTTGAGCCACGGCTGTGAAATATAGCAATTTGTAATTCATATTGTGATATGAGACTAGATTTCTTATTACATTTTGTATATTGTGATATAGTTATTTGTCACAATATCATCCCAACTTCGATGACTGGGGATTTTTCTACATACGTAGGGCTAACTCCTTATCCTTAAGGTTGAAGCTGCGGCTAAATTACTGGTTATGGAATCCAGACTCAAAAAAACTAATTATTATTTGACAAGTTTGTGATAAGTCAATGCATTAAACAATTTTGTCAATGGAGTGTGCCTACTTAAACTTGTTTCAAACTAATGTTTACAGATTTTAAACTTATGTTCAACCACATTCACATTGGGAGAGGAAGAACACAGAAGGTATGAAAAAAGTGATATGTTCCTCATGGAGTGCTTGATAATGACAAAAATACAACTTTATTGATCAATGCCAGCTACATGTGATTTATGAATGTGTCCATCTCAAACTGGATATAGTCATACAATTACATTATATTCAACACTACAGCAACCAAATCATTCAAAGTAATAGTTAAGAAGTTATTTTCCAAACAAATAGAGTGATACAATCATATGTACAGCAGCTTACAAGACCTATACATTATTTTAAAGAAATATCTAAGTAAGACATACAACTCGTAAAATGCCTAATTTGGCTGAACCTTATTTGTTGAACAAACACTCAATAAACTGCATGTCAACAGACTCTTCATGGCAAATGTCAGTGACATTATTCAACAATTAATGGCAGGAGTTCCTGTGGCTATTAAAGAAAAAATATATACAACAACTGATATACACGTTTTCTTCAGTTCTTATGTCCTTCATGATCAGCGTGCATGAGATGAACAAAGTGTATTTGATTTCTGATCATGTATTAGATGCTTTAATCGAGTACATTATATTTAACCTACATTAAGAATCTGCAAGTTTAAGAATGTTCATCCAAAATAGAAAAGGGAATGAAAATATAATTTTAAATTCCTTCAAGAAGTTTGATTCAAAAATATTTTTACATTAATAAGATATTTGGTCAACATTATCACAACCTTAGGGCTTCCAATCACTGACAAGTGTGGCTGTGGCAGATTCAGTGTGTTTTCCTTGTCTCGTAGATTTGCCCTTTTTTTTTAGGGTGGCTCCTTCATAAATTAGTGTCGTTTCACAGCTGTATCAAGTTCAAAATTCTCTGAGGAGGGTTGATCTTTCTAACTTTGCTCCACAGAAAAGTTTGACTCCGATCTGTCGTAAAAAAGGAAGAAAATCTCACAATTAATGAGAATTCAGGAGAGAGCAATGAGGGAATGAGGATGTCTCAGTGTAAGTGAGCTTACATGTCTTGGTGCTTGTGAATCATGTGGTTGTTATACTCCAAAACAGGAGGGATGATCTCCTCCTCCTCCTCCTCAGGAACCTAAAACACACATTGAAAAAGATCATGAGCCCGAAACTCAGCAAAGTCATTTCAATGACCAGTGTATTTTAGCTTTAAGAAAGGGCGAGAACAACATTTAGAGTTGGAAAAACCCCCTTACCTCCCAATAAACGTCATCATCAAAGCAGTTGTCATCAGCAGGGTCGCCCCAGATAGGGAACCGCAGAATTAGACCTTTAAAGAGAGAGAACAAAAAGGAAAAACGGCATTAAGTAGGTATACACAATTCGTTCTTTTTGGCCATGACTGTTTTCCAACATGAATACAACTTTGCACTTGCAATATTGTAATCAAATCTCTCTTAAGTGTCACATAATTAAAAGTATGATTATAATTATAGTAATATAAAAAACTCGAAGGACATTTAGATTTAACTATTGTTGGGCTTCTAAACACTTTAGGATTAAATTCTCCAAAATTCAACATAATCATGCCTCTTGACCCCTTTACAGTAATATAATCCTTGAAACTGTATAAATATATAAGTGTTATATTAATGCACAACACATTTGAACAACTTACCAACAATCCCTCCTCCAACAAGTCCAAATGCAATAGCCACACATGTGCCAGCCGCCTGAAAGCCTCCCTGGGTTCCTGGCGTTCTGTTTGCAAAATCGCCTTCAAAGTCGAATACACGTTTCAACCTAGGCAGAACAAAATATGGTTTTTAGCAAACAGTATATGTAGACTACGCCTGATGTCTGGGAGTGTTTTTGTCGGCAAAGGCAACAAACAGGCGAGTCAGGTTTTTAGAATTTCAACCCTGGGTGTGTTTGTGTGTGTGTGTGTGTGTGTGTGTGTGTGTGTGTGTGTGTGTGTGTGTGTGTGTGTGTGTGTGTGTGTGTCAGTCACGTACCCCTCTTTGCCATAGACGTCTTCATTAGCGAATGCAGCAACTATGGCGCCTACAAAGCCCCCGAGCATCCCTGGCACAGCATGCAGGTTGTGGATGCCACATGTATCCTGGAGCTTGAGGGTCTTTTCCAAGAAGGGCTGAGAATGCAAACGTGTATTCATTGATTTCTTGATCTGTACCCAGGGCCTCGTAAAAAAAAACTGTATAACGTAAAATCATTGGTATGTTAAGATCCCTAATTAGTAATGTGTTTGATTGTAATGTTAAAGCTTCCCTTCACTTTAAAACAACCCTTTGAAACCAAGGACATGGGTCCTGTTTAATAAGCAGCACTTTCACTATGTTGACACAACTACATGAACCAGTTAGACTGTTTCCATGTTACATGCACATTTGAAAGTACTTAGTGTCTGCTCTAAGAATAAAACACCAATTATTTCCAATAATCATGTCATCGTCATCGTCCTGAAACACAATCCACAAACATGTTCCTTCTCTTTTTCATGCCGCTCCCTTCAGAGTTTTTAATGAACCGTCTTTTGGCCAGTGCACAGACATCAGGAGATTTCTCAGATCAAAAAGTATGGAGGCTCACCGTGACAAAGAGGTAGCCAAAGGTGGAGATGATGCCGCAGCAGAAACCCACGATGAGTGAACCGTAAGGAGTGATCATGAACTCTGCAGCTGTTCCCATGGCAACCCCACCGGCCAAAGTAGCGTTCTGGATATGCACCTGTCAGAAAACAACTGCAAGTTAGTCACAAGAAATGGAAAAAATGCATTGATTAATTTCATGTTTTGCAGGGACTTAGCAGTACCATGTCCAGCTTTCCTTTCTTCTGAGACATGCTGGAGATGGCCACAGCGGTGAGAACAGAGGAGGCGAGTGCTAGGTAAGTGTTAATGGCCGCTCTGGGCTGCCCGTCGCCGTGGTCTGTGATGGCTGAGTTAAAACTGGGCCAGAACATCCAGAGGAAAAGTGTGCCTGTGAGGTGGGCCAATCAAACCACAAGAATTACACAATCAAGTAATTAGGTGATGAATGTGTGTCCAAAAGAAAACCTTGACACATGTGTATATATATAAATCACTCACCAATCATGGCAAACATATCAGAGTGATAGACAGATCCATTGAGGCTTTTGCTCTGGTGTAGTTTCGGTCGATAAAGGACCCAGGAGATGGCTAAACCATAGTACCCTCCAAAGGCGTGAATGACCATGGAGCCACCAGCATCTCGGCACTGAAGGAACAAGCAGCACAACAACATAAATTGCAAAGTGTGGTGGAACATTTTCCCTCTTCACATACACATAACTTTCCTGTGGAATCATTGTTTTTGGTGAAACTCACATGAAGGAGGTCGAGGATGATGTATTCTTCCACAGCAAACAGTGTGACGCCAAATAAAGTGACAATCATCAGCTGGACGGGGCTTACTTTCCCCAGCAGGGCACCCATGGCAATCAGAGAGCCGGCACAGCAGAAGTCTGCATTGATCATACTGTCGAAGGCGAGGTAAAGGGTAAGGCAAGGTCACAATAAGTGGAGAAGACCAAACAAGCACATTTGCATTTTATAGATTGTACAAAGGAAGGGCAGGAAACTCTATCTTTGCAATGACAAGATTGACTGCTTTCCTTCTATGGCGTGTTAATGAAATTGTGTGATTAATATTGCTACTGTAATCTGTTTCTCTATGAGTGGTATCCTGGGAATTGCATATAAATGTGTGTGTGATAACAGATGTGTTTCTACAGGAAGGACAGGGACAAAGGAAGGAATTAGCTCTAGGGTTATCTATATATCCAGTTCTTTGTAGGGTGAGTTTTGCCTACTGCCATGGGACGAACACATTCTCCCAAATTATGTTGATTGGAATGTAAATAAGTTTGTGTTTTCCTATAGGAATAGTCTGTTACACACAGAACAGGACGCTCTCTTTGGTGGAGACTCCATACTTGCAAGCATTAAAATATATCTTTGATGCCTTTAATATGAATATTGTGTTGCTGTACGTTTGTTACCTAACTGATCATTTTCTCTAGACAACAGCTGATTTTAAGTTGCTATGACAGGTGCCACAAGACAGGACCAGACAAAAGTGAAAATGTTTACGTGACAGCTGGGACAAAAATTCTAAAGTGTAAGAAAAGAGAAACCTTCCTGTCCATCTTCAAAGAACATTTGCCTTGTAGCGTTAAATAATGTGTTTTCATTTTTGAGTTACATGACTCACCAGTCATCTTTCAAGTTGACTAAATGAAGCATAGAAATAACTGATGATTTTGCTTAAAATTAAGACCTACCTTTCTACTCCGATAGAGATTTTTGCGGTGACGGGGTCCAGAGAATGGAACCAGCCTTGCATAAGAAGAGCCCACTGCAGACCAAAGGCAGCGATCAGGAAGTTGAAGCCAACCCCACTGAAGCTGTAGCGTTTCAGGAAGGTCATGAGGAAACCAAATCCAACAAAGATCATGACATGGACGTCTTGGAAACCTGAAGAAAGAAAATAACACATTTGTAAAAATAAAAACATATCAGGCTATGACAAAAATCTTTCTCTCTTGAACTCTCAACCGTCTGCTTCACATTAATTAGCTTATAGGGTAACTTAAATGCTGAATTGAAGTTTCTTACAAATGATAGATTTGCCTGCAAGCTGAGATTGTATCTGTTTGATTTGTTGAAACTGATTACTCTCTTCCTTGGAGGTGGATAATTTATGACGAGGTCAAAGCGCACAAAAATGTAGCTTCAAAAGATTGCGTGTCACAAGTAAACCCAGAAAAGTCATATTTTGTATTGCAGTGCAAATATTTTCACGGTAAAGTTGAAATGGACGTCAACTTAATTGATGCAGAAATGTGTGGTCCTAAAAACTTGTCAGGCTTAGAGTCGTTAAACATGTTACAGAGGGATCATATGGAGGTTTCAGATCTTAAAAGAAAGGGCCTACAAAAAAAGTTTCAGCTATGAAACCAAGTTTGTTAACTTTTTTAAATATTCCATCTCATTGGAAAAACAGCCTTCTTCTCTCAGTATTGTGATGTGGCAATGTCTTGCCATGAACCAAAAATGCAGAAACAAGACAGTGGAAATGTTGTTAAATGGCTACAAAATGGTAAGAATGTATTAACAGCCATTCATTTGCCATCAAAGGAAAACTCCCAGCATGTTGGTCCTTTGTCACCGACACACAGGATCCTAAATCACCTGCATTAAAAGATGACACTTTAATTGCAGGGTAGATTTGTTTACAGGCTTCCTATTAATGTACTTACTTGGATATCTGAAGTAGAAGTCATTTTCGATGTTGCTGGTGATGTTGGCACTTTTTTTGAGCTCTAACCATTTCTTCACATCTGATTCCTCATCATACCGGATGAAAATTCCAAACAGTACAATCATAGCAATCTGCCAGATGAAGCAGACAGCCGGCAGACTAACACGCACATTGGTGTTCTTCCGGCCGAAGAAATTCCCCAAGCACTCACACAAGTTCCCCATGTTGACCTCTGCTGATGCCCTGATCAATCGTCAGCTAGACTCCCTGCTGTAGCTTCCAGTGCAGCTTCTGTGCAGGTATATATATGCACACACTTGGGAGGGGGTGTGCTTCAATTCAACACTCAGCACTGAAGGTGGACACACCTCACCATGTAACCACTCCTCTTTTAACTTGCTAACTCTCCTTCTACAGACAGGACACCGTTGGCAGTAGCTCAAAGAGCCGGCTCTTTTAAGTGAAGGACGGGAGCCGACTCGCGCCCGCAAACAAGCCGGGTTTTGTTTTTTTTGCGGAGGGATCTAGATCCGCATGAAGGCACATTATGCAATGTGCACATTATCCCGCTTATTACATGGCCACATTCTCAACAAATTAACGACATGACTCCCAATATTAATTGAAATGCTTTTATGGATTTAGAAAATGATTTTATTGATTTATTGAGATGTATGTATTTAAATTGACATGTATCCGCTAAGAAAAATAGTCGGTTGTTACTGTTTGAACTAACGTAGCAACGGCAGGAACTGCTTCGAGAGTGTTTTTGAGGAGCTTTTTGATTACAGATTTGAAAACATCGTTGCTTGCTTTAAAAGTAGCACAATTCATTATGTCAAACTTTGGAAAGTATCTAGATATCCCTGCCCTAATGCCAAAGTAACGGCCAACTGAATATGTGTCGCCGTTTGATGTCTATGTCTGGACCGCTGCGTAAAAAGGAGGGTTTCTGCCCCATTACTTCTCTTCTTACTTCAATAAGAATAAAACACGGAGGAGGGAGATCTCTTTTTCTCCCCCTCTTCTGACAGCCCAGCAGCTGATCTCAGAGCACGCTGCCCTCTCCTGCAGGGGGGCGTGGTCAGCTGCAGCTCACAGAATCATATATATACTTTATATAGATATGGCCCAACAATATATTGTTCAAATATAGCATGATAGGTCCACTTTAAGTAATACAAGACATAATGATGATGATGATCTCCGCGCTACAGCTGCTCCGTGCATGCATGCAGGTGACATGTAATATCCAAGGATTAGAGACGGTTGGATGCTGCTGTTTTGAGCATTGCAATATATTTATTTTCACTATGTTATTTATTTATGATTATCCTTAGGCTCAGCAAAGATTTGATGTCAGCTGTTGCTGTCTTTTTTTCTATAGCTAATAGTTACTGAAATAGAGCCCTGCTGTTTTGTCAGGGCCTTTTCTTTAAATATAATTTTAAAATGTCGATACAGTAGCCCCTTTTTTTAAATAGTTTTTATAGGTGTTGCTATCTGTTTTGTGTAGCGTGGTTCGACAAGCAAGTCAGTGCATTCATTGGGTGGTATCAGAGAGTTACACGGGTCTGTAAATGCAATGAAAACATTTGGCCACAGCAAATCATTTATATTAAACATGTCATTTTTACTTTTGAATACTTCAGTACAAAGGATGTATTGAATAATTTAAGTGTTATATGTGTGTACACATATAAATCATTAGTCAAAACAGGGCTACATTTGATTTAATTAAAAGGTATAATATGTGGTAAACTGAAGAGCCGTTTGGGAGCCGAAAGAGCCGGCTCTTCTTGGTGAGCCGAGCCAAATGATCCGGCTCACCAAGAAGAGCCGGAATTCCCATCACTAGTTGGCAGCACTCCAAGAACAGGTACGATATCACGTGATGTGCATCACTTTAATTTGTGATTTGGCCAGGGTAACGGTTTAAGATATTCAGCACTAGAACCCAACTCCTGTAACTGCTTTTGAAATAATCACTAGCTAGGGCTGATTACATTGTCCTTGTCCTGTTTTGAAAATGATTTGTGACTGTCGGCCATTTACCTGGTCCTGTGGGAATACACCTGTCAGACACAACCGATTAAACACTACAGATCTTATACTTCATTTAGGAATGTATTATTGTTGTACCGAAGACAGAGAAGTGTTTTCCAGGTAACGTAGGAATCTTTTCTGGACATATTTACATCCTTTAAACTACAAGAGACAATATTTATTTTTAAGAACATGTAAAATAAATATCATTTCTAAATTGGTCTCCCCTCAAAATAATCGTTATAGTTTGAAATACTTATTTTACAAAATGCAAAAAAGGTTGACTTTGCATGCCGTTGCACTGTGTCTCTCAACTAAAGTAGCTGGGGGAAAGAACCTTGTTTCAGGACCAAAGACATCCTAATAATTTGTATATTTTGTATAGTTGATAACTCCCTTCCTATCCATTAAGTTCATTTTAATTAGTCTACCACAGCCTGAATGAGTGAGAGGCAATAGAAAACATTTTCTATTTATTATTTTGTCAGATATATTTTTATTAGAGCTCTGCCTCTTTATAATAAGCGAAGAGACTCTTGTTCACTTGGTGCATCACATGCCGACTGGTTATTTGTTCTCCTCGTGCAAAGCGTGTGTATGTGATGCTTATCGAAGAGAAGATTCCAGTTTAAGGATTCATCAAAATGAATGACTCTTGGTGACACTCAGAACATTCCAGATTATATCTGCTTCCCTTCTTCCACACATTTAAACTTCGTCAACTCATCATGTGACATTTAATGAATCATTGATGAGATACACTTTGATTTATACTACTCTTAGTTATTTTTGATTAGGCAAAACAAAATACTTTATGTGTATTATACTTAAGTTGTGTTAAAGGTAGGTTTAACATTCATGACATCACAACATTATGGCCTTGTGTTTTCATGATATTTACACTGGATTATGTTGACATGTGTGGTTTTCATTGTAATCGCAGGTTCACAAATGTTATATGTAGGCTACAGGTAGAGTCCAGGGCCCCGGAGCAGAAAGCCAGATTTATGAAAAATCTGAGTTTGTTAGGCCTGGGATAAGGGAACATTTTGTTTTCAGTTCTAGAAAGAGAGTTAACGTTACCTGCTTGCTGGCAGGTTGCATAAAACTATCCCTGAGTTTCTCGCAGTCTCCTCCTTCTCACTGTAATAAAGTATTTCCTACAAATCCTGCCACTGATGTGTAAGGTTAACCTTTTTTGTTGTTGTTGAGCAGACTACTTTTGTTCTGATATCAGGTTACTGGCAAGTGATCGTAGAAGAAAGACTTCTAGTTCATCATTAAACATCTCTATCGTCTGATGCACAAAGCCTTGTCAGGAGGGTGGCATTGAGAGGAGAGAGAGTAGTCATATCACTTTCACAATAAGCATTTGCCCTAAGGATAAAAGGTTGTGTCTTTGGGAAACATCCAACAAATACAATATCATGAATTACAGTACAGCGGTTGTCAAATAAATATTTTCAGTCAACTTAATTGATGCAGAAATGTGTGGTCCTAAAAACTTGTCAGGCTTAGAGTCGTTCAACATGTTACAGAGGGATCATATGGAGGTTTCAGATCTTATCTTTTGAAGGCATTTCAACGATGTTCCTGTCACATGGTGTGTGGTATGCTTTAGCCACACAGAGCCCTGGAACAATGCCACTGGAGAGATTAAAAGCACTTGTCAGTCTACAGGTAAGTGAGACACGGATCAATGCACTGCAGATATTAAGACACACAGACTCTCAATGCTATCTGCGCAGATAAATAAAGTAACAGAGCCAACTAATCGTCAGACCTGCCGAAAGGTTTCCCTTACAAGGCAACCACAGGAAAGGTGAAACCAGTTTGAATTAAACATTGATATCATTTATATCAACTTTGAGAACTATTTCTGTACATTTCACTCTCATGAACTGATTCAAGATTCAATGCTTTTATTGTAATTTGTACATAGCTACAGTGTAGATATGTCATGAAAATCTTAGGTCACAGGCTCCTCCAATGGTGCAACATAATAAAACAGACATTAAAATAGTGCAAGTAATACAAATAAAATATAATATAAATAGTGCAAGGAGAGGAATTGAAAATGCATCAAATGATTCCTACAAAGATGAAAGATGTTTTTGTTGAAGCGACTATGAACCCCATAAATCATTTCACTTACTGTTGAATCTTCTTTTGTGCAGTATGCAAGACCAATGAAAGGTGAGCCAATTATTTGAAGTGGATCTTCATAGCAGAGCTAATTAATTGTATTTGTAGTTCAAGGAAATAAAATGTCAATCAAATGTTTGCCACTTTGATTTGTTCCGTCTGGAGCAGCCAGAGGAGTGTGACTAAGACGAAAAGAGAACAAACAAACACAGGCAGATGCCACACAGATATGAGAGCGTCAGGCAGTCGGATATTTCTTGGTGACAGGAAACTACTGTAACCTCGGATCTGACTCTCAGATAACCCCCAGACAACAGTGTCACGATCTGCAGAAACAAGTATTACTTAGTTACACAACATCTGTGTCTCTCACATAATCCAATCTTGAGACTCCAAGTTCACGCACCTGCAAATAATCTTGTGCATCTCAGTCAGCAACTCAGGTGACTGATCAATAAAGTCACATGACTTCTAATGAATAAGGACACTCATGATAACATTAGTCATGAACACAGCCATTTTCCATTGCATTCTTGTTCTTTCCCACCAGCAACTTATATTTGAATTATGATAGGATTTTTGTCATTTTTTGTATATGGTGTTATTGTAGTGGGGGTTTAAAACTAAACTTATAGTTGCATTTTTATGTATTCCCCCCACTGCAGACTAAGGCATGTACAGGAAATCCATTTATCCGGCTTTTTATTTTTTCATAGCAAGTAGGTAAAAAGTCTTTATAATGTTTGCAAAATGCATCAACTAGGATATGTTTGTGTTCATACAAGATCATAACCTAATGGATGTCATTATCTTATTATCTTCCACACTGAGTAACAATATTACATAAATATTCTTTAGCATCTTTTGCAGCTCCTTACTTAAACCATATGACAAAATGCCTGACTTGTTTACCTTCAGTGGCGGATTTAGGATTGTAGAAGATCCGGGGCTTAGCCCAGGAGTTGTTGGGGGGGGGGGGGTAAAGTGCTATTTTTTCCAAGTGGGGGGTGGACCGAACATCCTTTAGGGGGGTCGTCGCCCTAGTTAAAAGCATCAATCTGGTGCACTTTGAGAGCAACATGAACCCTACCTTAATAAT